CCTATCTCTCTCCCCTACTGTATTTTTCTCTTTGGCACTTAGTAAAACATATTGTTCATTTACCTCTAGAATGTAACCTCCAAGGGAGGGAGATATTTCTAAAAATAGTTTATTGATTTTTAGAGAGAGAGGAAGGGAAACATCGATGAGATAGGGCAACATCAATCAATCGGCTGCCTCCTGCACGTCCCCCACCAGGGACTGAGTCCGCAACCTGGACATGTGCTCTGACCGGGAACAGAACTGGCAACCCTTTAGTGCACAGGATGATGCCCAACCAACTGAGCCACACTGGCCAGGGCAGGAAGGAGAGATTTTTGTCTACTTTGTTCACTGCTAACCCCAGTGCTTAGAACAGTGCCTAATATGTAATAGGAGGTTTGGTTTTTTTAATTTGGTGAATGCATGAACCTGTCTTCTTCAAAGTCTGCCTGTAGTCTGTCGGGAAGGAAGCCATCCTCAGTGCTGGATTGAGCTGGCCAGGAGCTGGGATGATGGGTGCAATTTGACCACTTCTGGGGTACTCACACCTTGCCTGATATGCTTCCAGGGCTTTACATGCATTGCCTTACTTAATGATTTCCCCCAAACCACCACCCAAAGTTGGTATTGATATTATCCCAATTTTACAAATAAGAAAACTGAGGCTCACAGAGGGGTCAATATACCTTGCTCAAGGTCACACAGCTGGTGAGCAGCAGTCAAAATTCAAATCCAGGCCTGTGTGAATCCAGATGCTGAGTCTTTCCCTCTGTCATACTGCTGGATCCTGCCCTGAAGAGGCCTATGGCCAGCCAGCGGGTTGCAGGAGTCACCACACAAAGTCTCACGTGCTAAGTGCTAACTGTGTCATGTCTGACTCTGGCCTTTCCTTCGCTTCCCACATCCAGCAGTCACCAAGTCTGGTCAAATCTGCAGTCCAGCTTGAAAATGGCTTTGGAAGTCTTCTCCTCAACCCACCTCTGGCCCCCAAACTAGCTCAGGGCCTTGTTAACACTTGCATGGTCCAAGGACATGGCTTCCCACCTATTCCCCTGCCTCCAGGCTTACCATCCAGCCTTCCTCTCGCTGAAGGTCAATGTCCCTAACGCAGCTCAGGAAGTATTACTCCTAGTCTCAGACTCTTCACTGGCCCCCACTCACTCCAGAATAAAGTTCAAATTCCTCAGCCAGGCATTCAAGGGTCTAGTTCCAATCTTCATTTCTAATCCTGACTTGTGTTAGTCTCCCTTCAAGCACCCAGTGTGCTATCCAACCTCAACACATCCCATACCTCCATGCCTTTGCCTATGCTGGTTCTCCTGTCAGAAATACAACCTTTCCTCAACCTCTTTTCCAAAACCCTTTGAAGTATTAAGATTGAACTCAAATGCCATCTTCCTCTTGGCCTTCCCTGACCCACAGGACAAGGACAATCTCTCCTTCACTTGGCTCATCAACGTATTTTTTTACCTCTATGGCCAGCACCCAGCAGCAGATATTAGCTCACTCCACAAGCTAGGACTCCCTGAGTTACTAAGCACATGGGTCTTCTGAAATGCAGGTGCTAAGTTATACAGAAATTGGGGAGAAATGTGTGCATAGAGAGGCCACAGAAAGCTTCAGAAGGGCAGCAGAGGAAAGCGTAAAAGAGCACAGGATCTGGAATCTGACTGCCTGCGTTCAAATCCAGTTTTACCTCTTACTAGCTAAGTGGCTTCAGACAAATTACTTCTCCGGGCCTCAGATGTCTCATCTGAAAAAGAAAGGCGCCTAGAGTACCTACTTTCATGGGGCACTGCGAAGGCTAAATGAGTGATCAGATGTAAATGCTGAGAATAGTGCCTGGTACATAGTAAGTGCTAAATTCGTGTTTACTGCTATTGTTATTAGCCAAGCCCCAACAGGGGCTCAGCACTGGCAGAGGGTTCACAGTTGTTGGCATAGGCATAGTCCCAAACTATAGCTACTTCCCAGGTACATTTCCCATGTGCTACTTGCTTACAACCCTGCTGGAAGATAGGCAGGGCAGCCAATTAGTCCCACTTCACAGATCAGGAACTGAGGCTCACTCAGGGAAATGCCAGTGAGGAAGCGGTAGGGCCAGAACCCCTCAGTTATAGCAAGACCTCCTTCCCCTCCACCCAGCAGTGTTGCACCTGTTGTGCAGGCCTCTCACAGCACCAGCAACTCCTCCGTGGAGGCCCCAGCCATCATGCTTCCCTGCCCTTCCACCCTCCATGCACATCCACTCTCCCAATGGGAGCACACACACCATTCACCCCATACACACACACACATCTACCAAAGGGCCCAGGCCCCAAAGGTGAGGAAAACCTGTTCTGAGGAATCTGCCTAGTGAGCGAATTCAGACCCTTCCACAGTCACAGGAGCTGCCCAGTGTGCGTCACTGACACAGAAGAGATGGAAAAGCAGAGATACCAGCAAGGGGGGCAGAGAGAGGGTGAAGCAGGAGGTAGGAGACTGAAAACTTTGTGTTTCTTTTTTCCATTTCAGCGACAAGAGTCACACCCGACCTTTACGTAAACATGACCAAGGAGCCACTCTGTCCAAGCTCAGTTTCCTTGCAGCCGCCAGGCCTCTCCTCCCAGTGACCCTGACACGCTGGGCAGGCCAGTGAGAAGAAAGCTCACAGACCCTGTACAAGACTAGCTGGGCCACCCAGACGACACCCAAGCCTCCCGCCTGCTGCCCTTGCTCTGCCCCATATTTATCTCCCTGCCTTCTTCCTAACATAGAACCACAGCAGCCCCACAAGGCCACTTAAACACACAAAAGGCAGGCACGCACACACAGCTTGCGGCTGATCTCTTGAGGCTGAGGCCCACATGCCCTTGTCACGCCACCTCCCTCCCCACAAGTGTTTTCTGAACAGCTCGCCTCCCAGCCCAACAGTAGGGACAGGCTCCCCACAAACAATGTCACAAAAGAATCCCTTAGAGAATGTTGCACACAACATAACCTTCCCCTCACTAGGCTGCCCACGATCCCATAAACACAACCTGCACATTCCACCCAGAGCCCCTCACACCAGTGCCAGCTGCTCCACAAGTACTTGAGACACACCCTAGGGTTTCTCAAGTCTCACATGATAGGTGGTGCCTGAGTTCTAGATGTGCCCCCCCATGCAACTCACTCATCACAAAGGCCCAGGAACCTATCCAGTGGGGCCATCCTCAGCAAGACCGGACCACACCTCAGCAGCACAGAAATGGGACCCAGAAAAGACACCTTCCAATTTAAAGGTAAACAACCACCCCTCCAAATAGGCACATACACCCTGCACTCTGGTGCTGTCCAGAGCACTTACACCAGCTAGCTATGCAGAAAACAGTTCATAAATAGTTCATATGTGGAGTAGGTAGAAGAAAACACATGCTGGTATAAAACCTGCCTAAAACCCCACATCTAACAAACTCTGCATGTATTATACCTTGGTTGGAATGTGGACCTGTCACCCAAAGCCACAGGGCCACATGTTGTAATTCTGCCCCACAACACTGGACACCCCACCATCTGGCTTTCTGTCCCTATGGCCCAGGGCCCTACCCAGACCCCTGGTTGCCAGACCAACAAACAGTGGAGCGAAGGAAGGAGAGGTTTACCTTGCCTCACAACACAGCAGGAAACACACAATCTCCAGGACTCACAGCCACAAACCTGCCCCGACGGCGCAGCGGCTCTAGGGGCCCCTGCTGGTCCTGCGCACCCCGCACACCCTAACTCTGGGGCGCTCACCGGCCCACCCCTCCCCCTCTCTGCCTGGCTCCTACGCCATCGCCCTCCCAGCAGCAAGCAGCGCCGGCCCGGGCTCACACCCGCCCAATCCTACCCCCAACCTGCCCCAGAAGGGGAGGGGGACACTCGGCTGCAGAATTAACCTTTCAGATAGGGAGCTAGGGCGGCCCCTTCCCCGGCCCCCAGCGATCGCGCCTCCCC